CTCCTACTCGTGGTAAGTTGGACCCTCGCTCCCTCAAATGTGTTTTCCTTGGGTACTCTCCTACTCAAAAAGGATATAAGTGTTACCACCCTCCTTCTCGTAACCGGTTTGTGTCCATGGATGTCACATTCTTTGAGTCCCAGTCCTATTTCTTGTCCTCTCCGGTGTCACAGTCCTCCCTTCAGGGGGAGCTTTGGTGTGAAGTGATTCCTATGGTGGAACCAGTTGTTCTTACACCACCATGTCATACTGGGACTGCAGAACCCAATGTCACCAAGGATAGGGAATGACAAGTTTTTGTCAGGGACAAAGACGGACAGAAAGTTAACTGCATACAAGAGACCACTTCTGCTCTTCCACTGTCATCTCCTGTTTCTGATGAGAGTCCAGGTAACTTTGAATCTCTCGAGTCCATTGATCTTGATGTTCCGATTGCCAAGAGAAAGGGTGTGAGGTCTTGTACTCAACATCCTATCTCAAATTTTGTGTCCTACTCTCATTTGTCGTCCTCATATAAAGCGTTTGTGTCCAATATTTCATCTGTTAGCATTCCTAACCATTTTCAGGATGCTCTTGCTAGTAGCTACCTCTGAGTGGAAACTTGCCATGATTGAGGAAATGAAAACATTTAGGAAGAATGGTACTTGGGAATTGACTGAGTTATCTAAGGGCAAACGACCGGTGGGATTCAAATGGGTGTATACTGTGAAACACAAAGCGGATGGTTCTATTGAGCGTTACAAGGCTAGACTTGTGGCAAAAAGGTTTACTCAAACGTATGGCATTGACTATTAGGAGACCTTTGCATCCATGGCTAAGATGAATTCAGTCAGAGTGCTTCTCTCTTTAGTAGCTTATCTAGATTGGCCACTTCATTAGTTTGATGTAAAGAATGTCTTTATCCATGGTGACCTCGAAGAAGAGGTATATATGGACATTCCTCCTGGTTTTGAGGATCTCGAAAGTCATTATATGGACTCAAGCAGTCTCCGAGAGCTTGGTTTGAGAGATTCACTCAAGCTATGCTTAAATATGGCTTCAAACAGAGTCAGGCAGATCACACCTTATTTGTGAAACATTCCTCACTTGGTAAGACTACAACCCTCATTGTTTATGTAGATGACATAGTTCTTACGGGTGATGATAGTGAGGAAATTCCTCTGTTGAAAAAATATTTAGCCCGTGAGTTTGAGATCAAAGACTTGGGGAGCTTGAAGTATTTTTTGGAAATTGAAGTTGCTCGCTCCAAGGATGAGATATTTATCTCACAGAGGAAGTATGTGCTTGATTTGTTGAAGGAAACTGGGATGCTTGGCTGCAAGGCCTGTGACACTTCACTAGAACCCAATCAGAAATTAGGGGATGATGAAGGAGGAGCAACTGTTGACAGGGGGAGCTATCGGCGATTAGTGGGTAAACTCATTTACGTATCTCACTCTCGTCCTGATATTGCTGTTGCTGTCAGTGTGGTTAGCCAGTTTATGCATGCTCCTCATCAGATTCACTTCGAGGCTGTCATACGAATTTTCAGGTACTTGAAGTCTACCCCTGGTAAGGGTCTTTATTTTTCAAGGTATGATCATCTTCGTGTAGAAGCCTATACAGATGCTGACTGGGCTGGATCAGTGACTGATAGGAGATCGACTTCAGGGTATTGCACCTTTGTTGGAGGCAACCTAGTTACTTGGAGGAGTAAGAAACAGAATGTGGTTGCCAGGTCGAGTGCAGAAGTTGAGTTTAGAGCTATGGCACAAGGGGTGTGTGAGCTCTTATGGATCAGGTTATTGTTGAGTGATCTAGGTATTGATCAGACAGACTCCATGCGGTTATACTGTGATAATAAGGCCGGTATCAACATTGCTTACAATCCGGTTCAACATGACAGGATAAAACATGTTGAGATTGATCACCACTTCATTAAGGAGAAACTCACTAACTAGTGGCGCAATATGTACTCCCTTTGTGCAGCCTGGTGACCAACTTACTGACATCCTCACCAAGGGAGTTGGGAGTAAGCCATTTCATGACATCTTACGCAAGTAGGGCATGAGAGATATCTTCACACCAGCTTGAGGGGGAGTGTTAGAATAATATATGATTATTTGGATTATTATTTTGTAATTATTTTATGCCTTAGGGCTTCCTTGTAATTATTAATGTTCATTAATATAAATAGGGAATGATATCCTAATCATTCCCTAATATGGTATTCTCTAAAATTAACAGTATTCAGCACCCGTACCCATGTTGTGTCATGTCAACACGTGTACCTCTCAAAAAACAAAGAGTCCGTGTAACGTAGCTCACCATTATATTTGGATGAATAAAAGAGAAGATAATGTGGTTTCTCACCTCTCTTGTTTGGATAGAGTAAATAAGAAAAAAGAAAGGAAAGTGTTGTGTTTCATTTCACTAAAATAACCGTCCATATTAATAAGCTATGTTTTTTCATAAAGGTAATTTTGGTATCTTAGAAAAGTTTCATTAAATCAATTCGTTTCTCACCAAATCTCACCGCTTTTGGTGAGAAACAAAACATAGGTTTGGTGAGAATCCTTTTCTCATCATCTCTCATCATTTCTCACCTACTTAACCATCCACACAAGTAAAGGGGTTTCCTATTCTCACTATTTCTTTTCTTTTCTCACCAAATCCCTCCATCCAAATGGAGCGTAATAGTATGTAACTGTGTAATAATATTGGTTGTATATTTAAAATGGATCTACAAGATTTGCTAAAATCTTGTGTTTACTTTCTAACATGATAAGTGACCAAAAAGCATGTGACTTGTTAAATATGGTTACTTTGTAACCAGGGGTCAAATTTGTTTCAACGTGTCAGTTTGGAAATGGAAATGTATGGGAAATTTGAGGGAAATCATAAACATTTTTGGAAAAGCACAATAATGTTTGATAGAAAAACTAAAAGCTATCCAAATGCATATGTAGCCTAACGATTAAAACGTAGTTGAGGTCTACTCATCCATTCTTATTAAACTTGGTAGTAAATGTTAATATAAACAAAAAAAATTCAATTAAAGTCAAATAAATCCACAAGTCTTTAACGTTAGCATTTATAATTCTAAATGTACATTAAATCCCTTCCAAACAAGGTTTACATGTTAGTCTGATTTGGGAGTTCCAGCATTTTAAGGAGGCATGTCATTAATGCATTCAATTTAAAATCAAACAACATGGTTTCCCAAATAGCCATTATATTCCCACTCTTAAATCTATTCCTAGTCACTTATAAGAGATAATTTTGGAAAATTGTAAAATCTTATGCTTTGAGTTTTCAAAGAGGAGACATTGCGGGACATTTCAAATGGGAAATAAGGATGAACAATGTGGGATGAAGGGAGCAATAAATGAATGCCAAAGGGGTTCTAAGGTGTAAGGAGGCCTTTAGCGATAAGATTAGAAGTTTCTTTCTAACAAGTTAAAAAACAATGTTTCAACAATGATCAATAAATATTGATAGATGATCTATGAAGCATCGACAATTGAAAATAAGTGTTGTAGTTGTGTTAGACATGGGGACATGGCGGGGACACGCATTGGACACGTTACGAGGTGTGCCCCTTTATTTAATTGATTTCTTTTTAGGGGACACACTGGGGACACAGCAAGGACACTCTGGGGCAGTGTTTTAAAATACATGCCTAAGCGCGCACTTAGGCGCAAAGTGCATTGAAATGCACTTGAGGTGCCTTAGACAACTTGAGACGAGGTGCTATAGGAATGGCGGATTTGAGGTCCGTGACTTAGGATTTGGCGTGAGGTGCTTGCCTCATTCATTTTTTTGCTCCATCCTTATTCTTTGTGTGTGTGTGCCATAGGGAATCATAACCCCTTTAATTTATTTTATTTTATTTATGATAAATAAACTAAATTTATCGAGCGAGCATCAGGATGATGCAAAAGAATACAAAAAGAGCCTCGGCATGGGGTGAAAAACTAACAACACCTAAGCAATAACATCATCCAAAAAATCAAAAAAGAACAAACAAATCCGAACCTGTCCTCCTTTCCAACCAACAAATAATAAACGACTCTAGCCAGGACACACAATGATGAACCTCTTGAAACGTTCGTCGATTCCGTTCCAACCAAACCAACCACATCAAACTTAGTGGCACCAACAACCAAACCTGCCGCCGCCGCCGACAAACATAAACATGTACTTTGAGCCCCAATTTTTATATTAAAAAACCCTTAGGGATTGAGAAAAAGCTCTTGGATTGCAATATGGATATATGACTTTGGCATTCCTTTCAACGTAGTGAATTAGGACAACTTTGGGCCAATGATTGAAGCTATCAGGCAATTTGGTCCCGGTTTAAAATCAAAACCACTAAGGTACTATATGTTGCGAGTAACAGGCTAATAAATTATGCAAAAAAAGGGGGCCAAAGAGGGCTACAATGGCAAGTGGTACATGGGCGACTCTAGGTTGAATTTTGACTATTGATAATTTGATTCGATGTCGGCATATCCTAATTTATTGGTATTGCATGTGTTATGGGGATGCGGAGACGGTAAATCATTTACTTATTGATTGTCCGGTTGCATCGAGGCTTTGGATGTTCATAGTGGCGACCTTTGGCTTGGCTTGGCTTGGGTACAACCGGGGTCGGTGGTGAAATTGTTGCAAAGTTGGGGTGGGGGAAAGGTTGGGAAACGCGTTGGAAGGCATGGTCACTTGCTGTTCATTGTTTATTGTGGCTGATTTCGTTGGAACGTAATAGGCGCATTTTTCAGGGTGTCACTCGATCGGTTCCATGGTTGGAAAGTCGGTTACTTTTGGTGCTTCATAGTTGGGTCACGTTTTCTGTTGAGCCGGATGTGTTAGTCTTTGTGGATTTTGTGGATGGCTTGGTTAGTTAGTCTTTGAGTTTTCTGTTTCGAGTCTTGTGGCTCGTCATTTTTGTATCCCTTTGTATCAACTACATGCTTTCTCAATAAAGTTTGTTTATTTATCCAAATTTTTTTTTATTCTTATAGAAAAAGAGTGATTGATTGTTGTGACTGCTAATGTCTCCAGGGAAATCTGGAATACATGGTTTTGGAATCTTTGCAAAACAGCCACACAGAGCAGGAGACATGGTAGATGATGTGATTATGTTGAAAAATCGACTCTGAAAATTTGAAATACCTAAAATGCTTAATATTTTTCATCTCTTTGTAGGTGATTGAATACATAGGTGAGATTGTTAGACCCTCAGTGGCTGACCGAAGAGAACGCTTCATGTACAATTCGCTAGTGGTATGTATATTGTCTATGTGCATTATTTTGTGTCATTCAGCAGAGCACTGATTTCACCTGTAAGGTTGACATAGTCAACCGTGAATAATTTAATTACTATTCTAAAAAGGTCGCCTTAAAATTTTAATTTCAGTGTGTTAGATATGCTCTTGTTGAAATCAACTAGCGTCAAGGAAAATCTAAATTGCATTGTCAATTTTATCTGTTTGGAGAATGGAATCAATGAAAAATGAGTGAACTACAAAATACCTAGTAGTGGAGTTCATCTCTTGTTGGGTGTTGAAAAATTGTATGGATGTTTAATGGAATAATGCAGTTATTATTTGTTAGAGGTATAGTTGGCTTGGTCTAGGCTAAGGCTTGGGAGGAAATCACCTTCGTTTTTGTGCATTAGGACTTTAGAGCTTTTTCCTCATTCATTATCTTCTTAATCTCTAAGAAAATTAGTTAACCAAAAGTCGCATGCATTTCATTTTACAGAAAAAATAAATAAATAAATGCAAAAAGAAAAAAAAAAAGAAAAAAAAAAGGAAGATCGAATAAGCAAGTTCAACTTGGCATAGTATGGACTTGTGTCTGTTTTTGGCAGTAAGGCTGGAAATGTTGCCACTTTGAGATAAAACATAAACAACGGAGTAGAAACATGGTGGGGAACCTTGTTTTTAAATCAACATGTTGATTTAACTGAACACTTATAACATTCAAATGCCCTCCTTTTTAACCTATTATATGAGCAGATTGGGGTGTCATCCTCTTTCCAATATGCAGTATTGTGATCTGTGAGAATGTGTCATCTTCTTTCTTTTCACGATGTGCTTTTAATAATTTCATATTAGTTTGACTTAGTTGCTTTGTTATGTTCTTATTAGAATGTTCCATCTTCTTGACATTCATACTTGCATATTTATTAACGTATGTCAAACATCGATTCAAGAAGTCGCACATGTGCAATTGTAGTTAAAGAGTTGAGTACAACTAATGTTCATGTACAATTGTAGTCAGGAAAATGCTATTGATACAAACTTTATCACCAGAATGATGTGGTGGTGGCATTTCTGTTATTAAATGTCATTCAAATGGCACTTTGTATTGAAATGATAAGTCCCAATGCAGCCACTTCATTCTGTATATAAATTATGTTTACTTTTTCAGTTTGTATATCACTACTTTTGTAGTTAAAGAGCTGTATGGTTGAATCATCTCTTTGTAGATCCTTGAACTCTGTTTCATAAAATTATTTTTGTCATTTTCTTGAGCTATGCCAGGTTAATCTGTCTCGAATATGTTATCCTGCAAATTTCTTTGAACTACACAATCATTTTCTTCTCTTGCATGTGGTATCTGATAGGTTATGTAGTTGTTAGGATTCATGTCTTGCAAGCTAGGCTGAAGGAACAACATAAATTTTAATCATGCGATATTTCCATAGTTTATCGGTTATTTAGATGCTTGCTTGCTGAAAGAGAAAGAAACACCTCTGGAAAGGGCTTGACAATTTTTTTCCTTTCTCTTGTAGGGTGCTGGGACTTACATGTTTCGTATTGATGATGAGCGTGTCATTGATGCAACAAGGGCTGGAAGCATTGCACATTTAATTAATCACTCTTGTGAAGTAAGTTTATCTTTTGCTGTTTTATTCTTGTCTATTTCAGAATGAAAAAATGTGTGTTTTCCGGGAAAAAATCTTCCTCTTTAGTTCTGGTGGGTGATGAGTTCCCTAGTGAAAAATTAATTTGTTTATTATTGAACAAGAAAGGGAGGAAGTAGTAACAAATGGTTGTAGATTAAACTTTGTATGTGATGAGTTATCCTAACCTTATGCCTGTATGACTTGGGAGATTATAGCAACTAATTATTTCATTCAAGTAGCGAAAACCTTCAAATGACTAAATACAGATAAGATATAGGGATATCTCTTCGTAATGGCTAATGAATGCTTGCATGATTTAGTATCATTTACTTGGTACTACAGACTACAAACTACAGTGCAATTTGTTTCTCATGATTTCTCACCTGAATTTTTTTTTGGCATTTTCCATTTTTATCTGTTTTTATTAGAAAGTTCAGTACCCTGTTTTTCGCTGTACATAAATGGGAAAATTATCTAATAATTGCTTTGTATTCTCAGCTTTCTTTTGCTATTGAGGAACAATCAGAAGAAAGTTGTGCTACTTTGATGCATTTACTTATATTACAATCTAAATGAAGGCATGATTTTATGAATTGGTTTTTACTCGTTCTGTTCTTTCTGTGCAGCCTAATTGCTACTCGAGAGTTATAAATGCGAATGGTGATGATCATATAATTATATTTGCTAAAAGAGATGTTAAACAGTGGGAAGAACTGACATATGATTACAGGTATTTCTTGAAGTCTCTCTGTAAATTTTTCTGTATAATGTGTATGCTAACATTTTTGTATTATGCTGCAGATTTTTTTCTATTGATGAACATCTTGCATGCTGTTGTGGCTTTCCAAGATGCCGGGGTGTAGTTAATGATATTGTAGCAGAGGGACAAGTGGCAAAGCTGCATGTACCTCACAAAGACTTGATACATTGGAAAGGATAATGACAGAGGTTAGCAAATTAAGAGATATTTTGGGTCGTTCAGTATTTCTTACTGTTTTGTTTTTGCTAAGTTTATTTATTTACTGTTCTAAGTTGACAGGTTTGGTCTTTTACATTGTTTAGAGCATTTTATCTACTTTCACACACACACACACACACACACACACACACGCAAATTCCTTGAATAGTTATGTAAATTTGGGTTGCATTGCTGGTTTATATATGTAGGGTTCTTTTGTGGGTTTACTTGTTAGTTTGGACATATGGCAAAAGCTTTACTGTTGTTTATCCATCCAGATTTCTTTCTTTCCAAGTTTTGAGTCTTCACATGCGAGGCTTTGCTCTTTGAGGTATGACATGAATGGATGAACGAAGATAGCCAGAATGGTTTCTTATTTACTTCTTCAATAGAAATTAGAAATTAGATTATTGTCGACCTTTATGTGTGATTGGGTGGTGAGACTGCTGGCACTTAAGTATGGCCACTTCTAAAGAGTATCCATGATTGGACACTGGGAGAGGTAATTTGCAATAGGATGTTTAATGCAATTTCGGACACCTTTCCTAATTGCTATAGGAGCATCAAGGTTGGAAATAGAAGGAATAGGATTACCTAAAATTTCGATGCCAGAACTCGGGTGGACATTCGGGTCATTAGGATGGACATTCGGGTCATTATTCCTCAGATGAAATCGCTTCCTAGTATAAACCTGAAGCTCAGGATTTAGATCATTTTGTAGTACTTCTCCCCCTAAACAAGAATCTTCTTGACTAGGCACCATAGAACTTGGTTCTCCTAAGTGATCACTATCAGACAGATGTGGTTTTTGTGGAGGATAAATGACATTGGGGAGCGGGATAGAAATATCCCAAAAATGGTCTTCTACTCCACTTGTCTCCCCCTGAAGAGAAGTGTTGGGGAAATAGGATTTTGTTTCCACAAATGAGACATCCATACTCACATGAAATTTCTTGGTTTGAGGATCGAAACACTTATGCCCTTTTTTGTTTGAGGAATAACCCAAAAAAACACATTTTATAGCACGGGGGTCAAGTTTTGAACGAAATTGACTGGGAACATGAACATAGGCAGTACATCCAAAAACTTTGGCGGGTAAATCAGAAAACAACCTCGTGTCAGGAAAAAAAGTTTTGAGACAATCAAAAGGTGTTTTGTATGTTAACACCTTTGTAGGCATCTTGTTTATCAAATAAGAGGCTGTTAAAATTGCTTCACCCCATAAATATTTAGGAACATGCATGTAAAACATTATAGCACGTGCTACTGCAAGTAGATGTTTATTTTTTCGTTCTGCAATGCCATTTTGTTGAGGGGTATCCCGACATGTAGATTGATGAAAAATCTCTTTTTTTTCCAAAAACTCACCCAACTGCTCATTGAAATATTCTGTTCCATTATCAGAATGTAAAATACCAATTTTGGTTTGAAATTGGTTTTCAATCATATTGTAAAAATTTGTGAATAAATTTTTCACGTCAGATTTTTTATTCATCAAATAAATCCAACATAAGCGGGTATGGTCATCAATAAATATAACAAACCATCTTTTACCAGAAAGAGTAGTGATTTTAGAAGGGCTCCAAACATCACTATGAATCAAATAAAAAGGTTTGAAAGCCTAGTAAGGTTTTGGCAAATAAGTAGAGCGATGAAATTTTGTAAAAATGCAACTTTCACAATGAAAAGAAGAACAATCAATCCCTTTAAATAATTCTGCAAATAAATGTTCAGATAAAGAAAACTAGGATGTCCTAGCCTATAGTGCCATAGCATTATTTTTTCTCGAACAGAGATTGAACTAGTACTATTAAAGCTCTGAGCTTTTTTATTACTAACAGGTACTTCATCAAAGTAGTAAAGACCTTCAAGCATCCTAGCACGCCCAATCATCATCCCCGAGTTCTAGTCCTGAAATTCACAATGGGATTTAAAAAATGTAACACGACAATTAGAATCCTTAGATAGTTTACTGACAGACAAAAGGTTACTGGCTAAGTTGGGGACGTGAAGAACAACGTTGAGATTAATTTTCTCAGTTAGTTTAATAAATCATTTTCCTGCAATAGATGAAAAACTACCATCGGCTACTCTGATTTTGTCATGACCAGAACAAGGGAAATAGGTACTAAATAAATGGGAAAACTAGTCATGTGATCGGAGGCACCGGAATCTATGATCCACGGAGAGAAGTTTAGGCAAGAGAAGGCTTTAGGATTTCTACCTGTTTGTGCCAACAAAACACTAGGAGTACCGGATGAGGAGTTGGATTTTATCAGCTTTAAGAGTTGATCAATCTGCTCTTTGTTGAAGGGACCTGAATCGGCTTCATTAGCGGTAGGAAAGCCACGATTCTTCTCTCCTTGTTTGCTGCTTTTCCAGTTGACAGGTTTGCCATGGATCTTCCAACACGTTTTGCGTGTATGGCGAGGCTTGTTGCAAAAATCACACCAGACCCGTGGCTTACATCAAACCTGCGCTGGTAATTTGCAGCCTTGTTGGCTGCAGCATCGCTAATTAAAGCAGAAATTTCAGTCGATTCACCAATACCTTTTTTCTTAAGCATGACGCTCCTTCGGCTCTCTTCCCTTCTGACTTCGGCAAATACTTCGCCAATGGATGGGAGAGGAGGTCTGCCAATAATTCTTCCTCGCACTTCATCGAACTCAATGTTGAGGCCGGCAAGAAACTTGTAAATACGGCTGTCTTCCACAGTTTTGTTGTGGTGGTTGCAGTCGTCAACCGATTTCCATTCGTATGTGTTGAAGATGTCAAGATCCTGCCACAACCTTTTCAACGAATTGAAATATTTGGTGGCGGAATCATCTCCTTGACGAATCTCTCCCAACTTCAAAGTTAATTCGAAAACTTGAGATTGATTTCCTAGGTCAGAATACATCTGACTATTGTTTATGTTTATATGAATTTCAGTGAATGTCTATATCCAATAGGCCTGCAGGATTATGAAAGCCAGTTTTTGTGCTTAGGATCAATTTCGTGTTATTTTTATGATTATTATTATTTCTTTAAACATGACAGTTAAATTAGGGCGAACAATTTAGTGGCCAGTATATCCTCTGGAAACATATTTATCAATTTGGTTTTTAGATCTGAGTTCAATGAATGCTGTACATTGTAGCCTGGTAGGCCACAGGATTGATATTTGTATAATTATATATATCTATTTGTAAATGAGTTTTAAAAATTGTGAGATAAACACACCATACAGGGGAAATAAATAAAAAAGGAAAACTGTTGAGCCAGCAACAATGGTTGAGTTCTTTGTTGATTGTGGAATAGGTGTTGGTTTCAACAGGTTTTAATGGAAATCAACACTCAACTTAAAATGAAAAAAGACCTGCACAAATAATGATTTTGGAGTTGCTTTCTTTTGTAAGTACTTGTATTTAAGCCCACTTCCCCATGTCCCAACGGCCCAACATTGCAGGGAGAGAGTTGAACTTAATAAATTAATGCTATTATGGTTTTTGACTCTCTCTCTCTCTCTCTCACACACACACGCGCACAGAGTTTTCCTTGACGAAGGTCTGGGATGCTATGCTTTTTTCTTATTTGCCCATTGTCTAATAGTTCCGATGTAATCCATATGAGGGACTAGAAAGAGTAAAATAAGAAAATTAGAAAAAATTTGTTGAAATTGACTTGATTTTAGGGTAGGGCCTATTTGAGACATTGCAATGGTCACATTTTTAGTCTTAGTGACATCTTGTTTTGTTGTTATCAGGTTGGTATGTTTGGATCAGTTTCTACATCTTTTGTTTGTTTTTTCAAATCAAAATATTTTCATATTTCTTAGTTTGCCTGACATCGGCTTTTTTTTTATTGGTCCATGCGATGTATTGGATCTTTAGTTGATGACTTTATACTGGTTCTATGGATTGCACTAGCAAGCATATTAAATTTTAAATTTGGATTCTAAATCCTACTGAAGTTAGGATTCTATGTTACATTGACTAAAAAGAAACCAAATACTCATGTTGGACACCCGACACTTGGGCAATGGTGTGGGATATATGTCCGATACTTCTCATCGGACACTCCATACATATTTTTATTTAACACTGTTATTATATGTATATATTGTTGTATTATTGCTATAAAATAAATAAAATGCTTTTTTGACATTGTATGTTACATATAAGTTAACATTGTTTTATCTCATATAATAGATTAAAAATATAAAATTTGACCTTTTATACCGAGTCAGTATACCCTTAAATTTGACGTTTGCTGGGTCTGACCTCTAGATACCCTCCCGCACCCGATACCTGTATCTGAGTCCGCGTAACATAGGTTAGGATTATCTACTAGTCTACATATAATACCTACTAGATGCATTCAGTTCAATACAGAGTAGTTCTCGAGGAATTTTCTAGCAATTTATTAGGGAATGTGTGGTGCAATTCCAAGCCTAAGTCTGACCTTTAAGGATTTTTAGAATTGCCTCCTAGCATCTACTTCTACTGAAATTGTTTTTTTGGTCTTAGTTTATGACCCGTAACCACTTTTAACCCTTGTAAAATCTTCTCTGTTGAGCTTATTTGCTTTCCTTTTGAAATAATTAGCCATAGCAATGACACCAACTGTAATTGTCTGGGCACTGTTCACATCCTCAAAGTTTTGTATCTCTTTCCTGATTAAAGGCACCCAAACAAAATGTTTTTCTTTTTCTTTTTACCTCTTTTATTATTTTATGCTTCATTGAGGTTGTGTCCCCAAGTCAGTTGCTATTAGTTTGAACATTGAAGATTTATTAGTTTTAACATGGATAGTTCATTGGCCTTCAGAAATACATTCAAGATTTATTTTGCCCATTTGTTTTTGTATGTGAGAACAGAGGGAAGACAGTTGATCATCTCTTTACTGCTTGATTTAGACCAAGTTTGACAAGTTGTAAAAAAATTCAAAAACCCAAAAAATTACTCAAAAAGTTAAAAAGTTATCACTATTCACCCAAAAGTCAAAAATTACGGCTGAACAACTCCGGATTCTAATTTTCTCCTACACACTAATTTATACAATTTTTTAATACACATTTTCCCATAAAAAGTCAAAAAGTTAACCCAAACAATCATAATTTTTTCCTCAACTTTTTAGTCTAAAAAGTCAAAAAGTGCACTTATTTAGGACATCCCAAACAACCCCTACGGTCCCTTTATTTTTTTTCCCTCTTTACACTCCCCTCCAAGAAACCATGATGAATTGGGACCAGCATTTGGGGAAGGGAATGGGTTCATTGAATTATCAGAGACTAGTATTAGGTGTTGGGAGGTTGTCAAGGGGTGTATACGTTAATGGAGCAGACGTTTTGGAGTTGCACCCTTGCTGCTTGTGGGTGAATAACTGGAGAGGGGGAGAGAGCGAGTTTTTGGCAGTCATCATTTTTATTTCTTAGTCATTTTCTTCTACTTGAAAGGATATTTCTTGTATGTATGCTTGTTTCTTGCTTAGATGCTATTAAATTTTCATTGCCAGAAAGTCTTTATGACAATTATGAATTGCTGATCCAAATTTTAAAATTTCCTCTTGAATGTTGTAGACGCTGAGAGCAACAATTTAATTCTCACTGCAAAGTATTCACTTATTAAATCTGCTAAACAGCTTCCTGCAGAAGTTTCTCAAATTTGTCCTCATTCAATAATCCATGTAAGAATTTATTTACTAGTTTATTTCTGAGCCCTGTTTTTTTCTATTTTTTATATATATATTTTTTTGTAGGAAAACTCATCACATATTAATGCAGCCCCCTATTCTGCTGCATTTTTAAAAGTAATTTCTTAAAAGATATATATATTGAGGGAGAAGCTAGAGAATATGCATTGTTGGTGTCATTGGTTTTCAAAACAGAACTGAAAATGGCCAAAAAAAGAATGACATTATAAGATGATAGGATGAAAAAGAATGAAAAGTAAATCTTGTCAACCCCTTTTCACATTTTCTCCGTTTGTGTTTGCCTAAGCCCACCCCTTGTCTTCATTCTCTTCCAATCCTAAACCATTGCCGACCTTGCCCAATCTTCATTTATAAAATATTATACTCACACCTGCACTGTCCAACAAGAGAAAAAATTAAACTCCAGCTTGCCACTAGACTATTCAGCCACTTAACTCCTCCATACAGTTCGCCCTCACTATGTTCCCTTTGATTAACCCACTTCCCGTGCCAAACAACTGGATCATCATCTCCAACAACTTAGATTACCTACAAATGAAGCCCATGGAAAGTTGGAAGTTAAAAGTATACGAAATATTATCAAAGTGTCCCATAGCTTTAAAAGATCAATTGCGGATATTTTGCAGTTGAATTTTATTGACTAATACTACTTCGGATGTTTGAACCAGGGGTACGTGTGTAACTTGATTGAATCTGGTTGTTTTGTTCGATATATTGAGCGTTTAACTGGTTTTGCTCTTAGAAGCAAGGTAGTTACCTTCATTATTTCTGTCATTTCTTTTTTTCTTCCGGCCATTACTTTCTCTGGACAGGTTTGGTTGAGACTATTTTAACCTAAGTAAGAAAAATCAGCTTATTTTTGTCTTATTAGGACATTTTTCATATTTGATCAATTTTTTTCCTAGTTTTTTATTTTATTTTATTTTTTTATTATTTTTTTAAAAGCTAAAAATCAAAAAACATTTTGATTGAATTTTAAAATGTCCTTTTAAGACAAAAATTAGGCATCATTTGCCCAAAAATTGGCTTTATTTTACCTTAATTGAATTTTTTTTCTTTCAAATTTGATCATTTTTTATTTAAATTTTTTAGGTTCCTAAAAATAATAAATATGATCAAATTTTTAAAGAGTCTTAATAAGACGAAAATAAGCTATCTTTTACCCAAAAAATTGGCTTAATTTTTGCTCATATGAATTTTTTCAAATTGGATCATTTTTTAAAATTTGTTTTTAGGTTCCCTCTACTCGAGGAACCTAAAATCAAAAAAATTCGATGAAATATTTCTTAGGCTAAAATGGCCTGAACCAGACAAGGCCCAAGTGTCCTGTTTAATTTAGTAGTATTCTCCCTCATTTTGGGTTTTCTTTTGTTTTTTGTTTTTTGTTTTTTGAAGGCAACGGATGACCGAAGAACTAATCTGTCTGAAGCCTTCTACATTGGGCAATCTGTTCGCAGTTACATACTTGATGTAGGTTGACAATTTGAGAATGGAATCTCTTATGCTATTGAAGAATCTCAGTTACAAGCTTCTGTTTGTTTTCTTTCCAGGTTAGTAGTGAAACTGGCAGAGTAACATTATCTTTGAAGCAATCATTATGCTCTTCGATGGATGCATCCTTTATCCAAGAATACTTTCTCTTGGAAGAAAAGGTAAACACTGAAGTCACCATATTTTTAACATATCAAAAATGATTTTGTTTACAAATTTAACTCTTTAGTTAAATAATCCAAACTTAGAGAAAAGATAATTCTTCTTTAAATTCTATGTACTAAGAAGGAAACAAAATAGAAATGCAACAACATTGGATTCGTGAGTGTGAAATTTTTTATTTCTGTTTTTTGTGTCGTTATTCTAATTACAGAACAACTCGAAAGTTTCCCATGGAAGAAAGGGTTATTCAACTCTTTTTGTCAAGGACTTCCAAATCATTAGAAATGCACTTATCATATGTGCTAATTCCATATCTGGCTCAACTGTTTAGGAAATCATGGGCATGTTTCTAATTGATGTACAAAATGCAATTCTTATTTGATAGGTTTCAAACAAAATTGATTTTCCTGTCTTGTTGAGGATGCTTTTGTCCATTGGTTTGGTATACTCATTTACTGTAGCCTGGATAAGATTCTTGAAATAGCTGATGGTTTCTGGTTCGCTGAACTGATAAAAACAAGAGGTAATGATTTCTTGAAATAGCTGATGATGTTCACTGTACGCATAAGGTTCTTGAAACAGCTGACGAAAGGTTTACTAGTGGACTAACTTATATCAGCTTCTGAATTGCTCTATGATGGGAAAAAGTTGCGCTTCCACTACAGGTTTGAGGGCTTACAATGGCCAGCGAAAGCAGTTTTATTTATTATCTATATTTTTTGTGAGTAAAAGATTTATTAGAGAAAGCATTAAAGGGGTACTGACCAATAGCAACAGTCAGACTTGTCACAAAAGCCAAAATGCCTATTAGCACTCCTCAGTTATCTAGCGCTCTACAAAAACAGGAAGAATTGTGAATGTGATAGAAATTGAAGGACACCAAAAACGATTGTCATGCTGTAAGGCTAACTATGTCATTTTCTTGTAGTATTGCTCATGAGTTAGCACAGGAAATGTATCAATGTACACTATAGGAAAATTGTCTAAACTATTCCTAATTGCACATGCAGAATTGTCTTAACTATACTTATTTTTATTTATTTATTTATTTTTATTATTATTAAAGTTGCCATCAAAGTTTTAGAGTTGGACAGTGGTTCAAGGTGGACAAGGAAAGGAGAATTTTTGATGTGTCATTTGATATTTGATATAAAAACTTACAACTCATAACCAAACATACAACTCAAAATTCTATTAAAACACATAAATTTTTTTTTAAAAAATTCGGAAAGTATTTTTTTCGAATATATAAAAATTAAAATATGTCAATTACAAAAAAAATAAAAATAAAAAATTGTACTGTTCCGGTCAACCGGCCGGACGACCAGTGGGACGACCGGTTAGGCCAAATTCAAAAAAAAAAAAATTAAAAATCGCGCCTCACACACAGAGTTTTCTGCAGAGTTGTGGAAAATTAGTTCCAAATGCCTATCCAAACATCATATTGGAACGTGGGGGTAGAATCAATGTTTGGAAATCGTTTCAAACACAGCCTTAATTTTCCAGCTGAAACCATATGGGCATTGGGTGGGGTGGGATCTTAATTGTGGGATAACTCACTTGTCTTGTTTGGTAAGGATAGCTTAGTGAATAAGCTAAGGGAAAAATGCCATCCCTTGGAAAAGAAAAGAAGCCCCTGTGGAAAATGTAGAACAGCTTTGCGGAACTTACTTCAAAGAATGATGTCTTTGGAACCTTTCACTGGTTGGTTTAGTTGTTCAAGCATTTTGGTGGAAATTCTTTATATTCTTCCTAAAAATTTTAAAGTACCTTCCACATTCCTCCTTTTATGTTCCTTATTCTTCAGAACGCTTATATGATATATGAGCCAAAAAAAAAAAAACACATTACTGTTTTCTGTATCTTTTACCTTTTTTGCTTGAAACTGTACAATGTGTTGTAAATTGAATTTATTCATTTAACATTTGAGATTCCTATGTAAGATGTTACTTCTGCTCTGTAACTATCATGCATATTTGTTTCGATGCTGCTGTTGACTCTCTTGACCATGTTCTGGATATGTAATATTTTCATCTTTGAACTGATCTTACTTTATGATCCAGATTGCTAAGCTGCAGTTATCTGACTCAAAAAGTCTTGGGTTAAATTGGGTTGAAGATTTTAGCATTGGCAGTGTTGTTGAAGGAAAAGTTAGTGATGTGAAAGATTTTGGAGTTTTCGTCAGCTTTGAGAAGTATAATGATGTTTTTGGTTTTGTTACGCACTATCAGTGCAAGTCCTTTATTTGAAAATTTCATGAATCAGTTATTTATTATCTCTCAAGATGTAATACATCTGTTTGGTGCAACAAATCTTTTGCAGTAGGTGGAATTACTGTGGAAACTGGGTCCATCGTTCGAGCTGTGGTTCTTGATGTTGCCAAGATTGAACACCTTGTGGATTTGTCTTTAAGGGCAGCATTTGTTGATATATTGAGAGAAGAAACTTCTAAAGTTGATATTAACAAGGAGGTTTGCCTCAAGTTTGGTGTCTAAATGTTGATGTACTGTTGATGTACCAGATGTTGTCTGTTCCCTTGCTTCTTCCACCTCTTCCTCAGTCACATATTATCATTGGGGGTGTTTGGGAAGATGAGTTTGAGGCTAAAATAGCCTCAAACTAAAAAAAAGCCAAAAAGCTCCTAAATTAACACTTTATAAAAAAAATAGCTGCAACCACGGACAGTGTTGGCACAGCCTACACTGTCAAATTGACAAGTTGTCCCATCCCTTGGTAAATGACGATTTTGCCCCTTTACATTAATTTTGAAAAATGTGATGTTAGGGGTAAATTTGTCATTTTAACTTTAAACATCATTTCAACACATTTTTCAATACAACAACTCAAATAAAAATCCATCCCATCTTCCCAAACACAAAAACTAAAATAGCCTACTAAAATAGCCAAAAAGCTAAAAAGCCTCTAAAATAGTCACTTTCCAAACACCCACATTGTGATTTGAGATGATCTTTCTCAGTTCTGATATTCTTCTTCTTCCAGCTCTGTTAATGCTTTTGGTCTCTGGTGAATACGTTTCGCTGCACATTGAGTGCAATTATATTGTTGCGCTTTCACGTCTTAGGAAATCTCCATACACCTATATTTCATTTGTTAAAGTTTATAGGATGAGGTGTGATGTTATATTTTAAATTTAGCTACTGTCTTAGACATTTCACTTCTCATGGTTCACTAATGAAGATCATCTGTAGTTCCCTTCTCTTTCTCCTCCTTGACTTTTTAAACATGAATTATGCTATTGTTTATTCCAGAAACGCAAAAAGGAATCACACAAAGAACTGGAGGTACATCAAACTGTTGATGCAATGGTGGAGATTGTGAAAGATACTTACTTGGCAAGTGTTTGATGTTTTTGTTTAGTCTGACAAGAATTCACTGTTAGTGATCTATACTTATTTTGATCTCTCTCTTCCTATTGTGTTACTTGTGGAGCAGGTTCTGTCAATACCACAATATAACTTTGCTGTTGGATATGCCTCACTGACCGACTACAGCACACAAAAGTTCCCTCCAAGACAATATGTTAATGGCCAAAGGTGAAACATGATTTCTGTTGTAATTTAATCAATACTTTGTGCATGCCATTTCTTTGTTTCTTCTTTTTTAATTTTATTTTAAAATTCAAATCAAATATTCTTTGACAGCACTTGAAAATTAGAATACTGCGGCCTATAGTTGAACATTTGGCGAGATTAGGTTTTGGTAAACTTGTGTTTTGAGGATTTTTGAAAAGGTAGGTTTTATGGATAAAAATGGATTGGATTTTTTGAATTTTCAAAGGATGGCTTGCTGAAATTTTTGTATGGCAACTTTTTTAGGGTTTTGTAGGAGAACATGTTAAGATGGTTTGATCATATACAACAAAGATGGATAGATGCAATGATAAAAGAAAAAAATTATGTGATCACCACAAATGAATAACTTAGGGGGAGGGGAAGACTTAGACTGGTTTGGTTTCGTTAGTGTATGAAAGAGGCTTGTGGGGTAGGAATAAGGCAAAGTAGCTGCTTAAGTTATGACTAGTGAAACTTATCTTAACACACTTAAGGCCAAAACAAGGGACCCAATAACACATCTATTAACAAAATGTAAACCACATTTTAGCACTACAGCCCATGTCTGGAAAATGTGGATATGCTGAATAATTTTTTACTCCTAAAACATAACATAACTTAAGATACGCAAAACTGAAGCAGTAGTGCTTGAAGGAAATATAAAAAAAAAACTCGACATTATTTAGAACTTAATTATGAAAAGCTTAAAGTGGATCCGGCCTTGAAATGGAACCATGGTTTCATAGTTTATGATTTTTTAAATT